ACATAATGGGCTTTAAAATTGGAACCATCATTCATATTCCTTTTCGTATAGTTCTCCTGACACTTCCTGTGTGTGTGTGCACACATGTGTACTTAGTCACATATGACTCTTTGCAACCCCATGGACTGTAACCCACCAGGCTTCCCTGTCCATGGGATTTCCCAAGCAAGAAGACTGTAGTGGGTTGCTATTTTCTCCTCCAGGGGATCTTCCTGACCCAGAGATCGAACCCTCATCTCCTGTGTCTCCTGCATTGCAGGCAGATTCTTTACCGCTGCGCTATTAGGGATGCCCTCTGATGAGTATTATCCTGCACTAAATAAGGTGGAACTCCCCACTCCCTGCCTGCAAGTGCTAGGAGGTGTCTTGTATAAACTGTAGGGTGTTTTGCCCTAATTTATTGGTTTTGCAAGAATGACCTATTGTTGGGCTTGATTAATTAGATTGTTGGGTGATATACTTAATGGTTATTGGATGCAATTTGCAATGCTTAATAAAAAACTTAATATATTAACAGTAATGCTGTGAACCTATACTTGGACTATGTCTGTGAGGATGTACAGGATGGATAAGTGAAGTGACCCTCTGTATCCATTTGCTAGGGCTGCCATAACATGACATCACAGACTGGCTGTAAAACAGAAATTTATTTTCTCACAGTTGTAGAGGGTGCAAATCCAAGACCAAGGTGCCGGCAGGGTGATTTCCTCTCTCCTTGGTGTGCAGATGGTTCTCTCTCTTGCTGCCTCCTTCAGGCATAAATACTACTCCTGGTGTCTCTTCCTTTTCTTATAAGGGCAACAACAGCCATATTGGATTAGGGTCCCATCCTGTTTCTTTATAAATTAATCACCTCTTTAAAGACCACATCTCCAAATGTGTTACTTTCTGATGTATTTGTTCAGTGGTATTGGGGGTTGGGATTTCAACATATCAACTTGACAGAGGGACAAAATTCAGTCCATTAACATTACAAAGAACTGGTTAGATGAAAAGTATAGCTGCAGGTATCTTGTATTTGCAGAGTAGATTACAATTTACACAGCAATTTTACATGCTTATCTCATTTAATTTGAACAGACCTTTGTTATCTGGTCCAAAGTTTTAGATGTACCTACAGAAGAATTCTGCTGACAAGATTTATCTGGAATGATTAAAGGATACAGCTTGAAGGATCTGCAAAATATATTCCAGTAACCTTCAAATCCCAGCTAGCTCTAGATATAGCTTATATTGAGGTATATATTGAGCTTATATTGAGATATAGCTTATATTTTACATTTTACAAATGTAAAAACTGTGATTTAAACGACATATCTTTTCTCTTCTGATGAGGAACAAATCCAGTGAAAACAGCATTAAACTAAGCCAAGGAACTAGAAAGAAGGCTTGAAGGCTTGACTGGGGGTGGAGGATGTGTTTCCAAGATGGTGCACTCAACTGGCTATTGACACAAAGCCTTGGTTTCTCCACATGGACTTCTCCGCAAAATGGTTTGAAATGTTCTCATGACATGGCACCTGGCTTCCTCAAAGAAAGTGATCAAATAAGAAACCATAGTGTCTTTTATGACCTAGGCTGAGTCACTCACCTTTACCATTCATGTTTCTCCATTTGTTTTGAGTCCAGTCCAGTCCATGTTCAGGGAGTTCCCATAGTTATTTTAAAGTTGAAGTATAGTTGATTTAGATAATTAAAGTGATTCAGCTATATATACTTTAAAAAAATATTCTTTTCCATTATGGTTTATCATCAGACATGGAATATAGTTGTGTGTGTGATATAGTTGGATCTTTTTTATCCTTTTATATATAAAGCTTACATCTGCTCGCCCCAAACTCCCACTCCATCCTTCCTCCAACCCCTTCCCCCTTGGCAACCACAAGTCTATTCTCTATGTCTGTGATTCTATTTGTTTTATTGATAGATTCATGTCCTATTTTAGATTCCACATATAAGTGGTACCATTCAGTATCTTTCTCTTTATGACTTCGCTTAGTATATAATTTCTAGATTCATCCATGTTGCTGCAAATGGCACTATTTCATTCTTTTTATGACTGAGTAGTATTCCATTGCATATATGGACATCTTTATCCATTCATCTGTCAATGGACATTTAGCTTGTTTCTGTATCTTGGCTATTGTGAATAGTGCTGCTATGAACATAGGGGCACATGTATCTTTTTGAATTAGTTTTTGCAAGGATGTATGCCTAGGCGTGGGATTGCTAGATCATACTGTAATTCTATTTTTAGTTTTCTGAGAAACTTCCATACTGTTTTCCATACAGTTGCACAAATTTACATTCCCACCAACAGGTAGGAGAGTTCTCTTTTCTTCACACCCTCTCCAGCATATATTGTTTGTAGACTTTTAAATGTATCTCATTGTAGTTTTGATTTGCATCTCTATTAATTAGCAATGTTGAACATCTTTTTACATGCCTCTTGGGTCATCTGTATGTCTTCTTTGGAGAAATGTCTATTCAGAGCTTCTGTCCATTTTTGGGTTGGGTTGCTTGGAGTTTCTTGTTGAGCTATATGAGCTATTTGTTTATTTTAGAAATTAAGCCATTGTTGGTCACATTGTAAATAATTTTTTCCCATTCCATTCTCTTAATTGGAGAAGTAGGTAGGTAGGTAGATAGTTTGCTATCTACCCACTATCTACCCAGCTAACAGATATATCTAACATACATTAATGTCAGGAGGAAAATCTGACCTAGAAGCCATAACTTTTTTCAGAAGCCATAACCTGAAGTTTCCCGTCCTGTGCCCTGAGTTTCTGACGAGCCAACTGACACATCTTTGGCATGTCTCTGAACCACTCTGTCTCCAAGCTTCTAAAATTTCTCTCTTGATTTCTTCTTTGACCAACTGAAGTAGCCTCCAAATACTTGTGAATTTTCCAGTTTTCTTGTAATTGACTTCTAGTCATACTATTGTGCTCAGAAAAAATGACTGATACTGTTTGGCTCTTAAACTTATTTTAATATGTTTTGTGGCCTAACATATGATCTATCATGGAAATAGTCCATGTGTGCTTAAGAAGAATGTTATTTTGAGTGGAATATTCTGTATTATGTTTCTAAGTCCACTTGTTACAATATGTCCTTTTAAGGCAAATGTTGCCTGATTAATTTTTATCTGGGTGATCTATCCATGATGAAAATGGAATATTAAAGTCACCTACTACTATTGTCAATGTCTTTGTAGGTTTATTAACATTTGCTTTATTGAGGTGGTCCTATATCAGGTATGTAAATATTATAAAATGTTATATCCTCTTGTCAGATTGACCTCTTTATCATTATACAATGACCATCTTTGCTTCTTACTACAGTTTTTGTCCTAAAAATCTATTTTGTTTGATATAAGTATAGCTACTCCAGCTCTCTTTTGGTTTCCATTTGCATGGAGTATCTTTTACTATTCCTTTGCTTTCAGTCTGTGTGTGTCCATAGACTTGAAGTGAATCTCTTGTAGGCAGAATATAGCTAGGTCTTGGTTTTTAATCCATTCAGCCACTTGATGTCTTTTGAGAATGTAGTCTCGTTACATATAATTATTGGTAAGTATATGCTTCTTATCATTTTGTTGTCTTCTGGCTACTTTGTAATTCCTTTTTTTCTTCTTGCTTTCTTTGTGATTTGATTTTCTGTAGTGGTATATGCTTAGATTTTTCTATCTTTTGTGAATCTTTTATTGGTTTTTGCTTTGTGGTACCATGATGCTTACATAAAACTTATTTATTACAGTCTATTTTAAGTTGATGACAGCTTGAGTTCATACTTGTTAATTGTAATTACAATTCTACATTGTAATTCCATTTTAAAATTTATTTATAAATAAGTGTTAAAATCTTACCTTTTTATTAACAAATAAACATTAACAAATTATGGCAGAAGTTATTTTTACTAATTTTGTCTTTTAACCTGCACACTAGCCTTATAAGAACTTAACTCATTACTGTTACATTCGCTTTTTCTGAATTTTACTATATATTTACCTTTACCAGAGATTTATACTTTGCTTTTCTTGCTAATAATTAGTATACTTTCATTTCAGCTTAAAGTCCCTTTAACATTTCTTGTAAGGCCGAGACCAGTGGTGATTAACCACAATAGCATTTCCTGTCTCGGAAAGTCTTAATCTCTCCATTAACTTTGCCAGGTAGAGAATTCTTGGTTGGAAGTTTTTTTCCTTTCAGCACTTTGAATATCTCATAGCACTTCCTTCTGGCATGTAAAGTTCCTGTTGATGAAGTCTGCTGATAGTCGTATAGGGCTTCCTTTATTAAGTATCAAGTGGTTTTTTTTCTTGCAGCCGATAAGATACTCTCTTGGTCTTTAACCTGAACCTTAATTACAAGGTGTCTCAGTATGGGTCTCTTTATGTTGTTGTTTAGGGGCCTTGTCTCTCCAGGGCAGGTCTTAGAAGTTGTGATGCAAGATGTGGAGTTCAAACTCTTCACTCTTCAGGGAGAATGCAGGGGTGCAACTTCCTTCCTGAGCATGGGTCTCCATACTGAGAGTGGAGTTGATGGTGAGATTCTGTCTCAGCCTTTTCTACCAGCTTAGAAGTGGGTTTTTCCTTGCAGGACGCTCTCAGCTAATTTTGTTTTGTTTTTCTTTTTTCAGAGGAAACTGTTCCTATCTTGAGCTGGAACCCATATCCTTTTAAAATTAGGAACTGAAAGCATCACTGACACTATAGATACTGTTTACCTTAATCTTTACCCAACTGAATAGCAAGGAATAATGGGGGATGTTCTGCTGATGCCACAAATTCTCAGATTAACAGGGATAAGTCACAAGTGGTCATGGGGAAGGATGGGAAAGATAACCTGCAGTTACTGATCAGAATAAAGAGAAGTGACAGGTCAGATTTTAACATATTAAGGTACTACTTGAGTATGGTGAGAATTTTTTATGAAAAAGTTAGTACAAGACTTTACAAAATAGGACATCTGCCCCTCCCAAAAGAAACCAACAGAATGTTAAGTTATCTGTTAACTCTCATTTTATTTACTGTGGACTGCAGACATAGTCTTGCCTCTTCTCTAGCTGGACAACTTCTTATTGCAAGCAGCTAGAGTCCAATTGTGGCAAGTGGACAAACTTCATCAGTTACAAGACAGAAGACTTTACTAACAAATAGTTTATAGATCAAAAGATGTTTCCACGAATACTGGTCCAAGAAATTTTATGGAAAATCCAACAAAAGTTTGCTTTAGAAAAACTTTATGAGTATATGACTAGCAATACACAGAATGTTTAAATTTAAAAATATTATGAGACATAACACTACATTCCCATTGGGAGCATAAAGCTCTGAGTACTGTGACTACGCAAAAAAAAGAGTTTAAAATTTTTCTTTTACAACATAACAGAAGATATTCAAACTAAAAAGGCAACAGATTTGACTAAATGGCAAATCTACCTATATAGTTTTCATTCTGTAAAGAAATAACTTGTGAAATACTCCTAAAAGCCACTGGACAGAACAGGATAACCATAACTTTTGTTATACTCCACATTTCTTTGAACTCAGAGAATCTAGGACTTTAAATCTTTATGCTACAGAGAACAGTATTATCCACTAAAACAGAAGGTAATTTTCTAAAGGGTATTCATTCTCCAGGTCATTAAAGAATTTTACATTTTTTCCTTATTCAAAAGATTTACCAATTGGTAAGAAGAAACAGACACCTGAAAAATCTTTTTGCTTACCTTTTTGGTTTTTGCTTTGCTACTTGCTATTTTCTTATACATGCTTTGCAGGTCATTTGGAAATATGACTACTTTCTTTGCTGGGTAAGCATTTTATAAAAATTAAGTGCACAATGACTACAATGAATGTTCCTGAATATAAACTTTCAACCTGTTACAGTATATTACCCATAGAGAAAAGGTACAACACTACTGAGACAGGTAATGCAGAATTACAGTTTTAACAAAAACCTGTGAAAGGCAATTGGCAAATTACAATTTTGATTGGTTTCCGTCATCATTTTTATTGTCTGCCCACAAATTCTGTAGTTTGGAGTTCATTTCAGATACTTCTAAGAGTCCACTTCATGAGTTAAATATGTACATACAAAATAAAACAGATATACTGTAACTTATAAAAATTAAATTGTTTTATATATTACAGGTTAGAGGCAGGTTAATATAATCAAAGGTTACAGTTCTGAAAAGTATGGTTTGTTTCACGTATTACTGAGCCATACTTAAAGTACATCCTCAACTCTTATCACATTATTTACAGCTGTCCAATAACTCGAGCAGTAAAATATCTGAAGTATGAAACATGTAATGTTGGTAACAAACATTTTTGAACAACAAGAATAAGATTAATGAACAAAGTAAATCTAGAACAAGGAAAGGGAAGGTACATTTATTAAAAATAAAAATAGTTGACAATCTCTGATAACAAAACCATTGAGAATCGAAATATATCCAATATACATTGTAACAATGCACATATATTTTAAAAAACTGAAGAGGCATTAAGTAGTTCTGCTTAGAATTAGAGAAAACAGGATTGTGGCTTGCTCCTGTGGGAGGCCGGCGTACACACAGCAGCACCCCTCTGTGTCCTGTGCATCACAGTGGTGCATGGCGTGTGTGCATTCAGTGAACACACAGAAACTGCGATTTTCTCCAGAAACAGTAAGGATGATCCAGTATGTAAGTCAGTGGCTCTGGCTCCATTTCATAAAAAATCTGTGTAGGCTAGAAGCGTAAGGACAACTGTTTTCAAAAGCTTCAGTTTTACCAAAAGGTACAGAATAAACAACTCAATCTAGATGCTTTCACATTATTTTGGACGGTGTAAAAATTGATGTAAAATCTTAAGCTCGCCAAACTAGTGTCTTTAAACTTTATCAAAAGTTCGCTATTTTTAGCATGGCTGGTAAGTCTTTTCTGTCTTCGTCACTAATAATGCTTGTCAAACCACAGAACTCTGAAAAAGAATACACACTGCTGAAGGAAAATAGTACCAAAAATGTACCTGGACTTCAGTCTTAAGACACACACAGTTCCTGTTGGATACTGGACTGTGAAAGTTTATTATCTTCAGTCTTTTCAGGTCCTGGGGCTTGGCACATGGTCTTTCGCTTAAATAATCGAAGACTCAGTCGTAACAGTTCATTGTCTACCATTGGAGCATTTGTATAAGCTTGTTTTACAGTGCCCTATTTGGAGAAAACGTTTAAAAAGATGTAGATTAGGTCACAGTAGAAAAGACAGGTTAAACTGCTAACAAAAATCAGTTATAAGAAAAATCAGTATGAGATAGGTATTAAATTAGCTGTGCATACATGCTAAGTCGCTTTACTTGTGTCAGACTCTTTGTGACCCCATGGACTGTAGCCTGCCAGGCACCTCTGTCCATGGGGTTCTCCAGGCAAGCATACTGGAGTGGGCTGCCATGCCCTCCTCCAGGGTTGGGTTTGATTCCCAACCCAGGGATCAAACATCTCCTGCATTGGCAGGCAAGTTCTTTATTAATAGTGCCACGTGAGCTGTATTGGATATTTAAAAGCAAAATTAAGAAATGCTGTTTTCCGACTCAAGGAAAAGAAAGCAATCTTTAGAGGGTGCCTAGTCTAACTTCTTGCTTAAAGTAGGAATCTTCTTGACAATCCCTGACAGGTAATCAAGTAGTTTTCACTTCATCATTTCCAATGACAAAACAAAACAACAAAAAACACATGGCACATTATATTGTTAAGCAGTATGATTTCTTACACATGTTGAAATAAAATCTTACATGAAGTTACACACTAATTCAATCTTACTTTCACAGGGCACCAAACATTCCATACTCCTTACTGGTCTACTAATGTGCCATAAGATGCAGGTTCTAGAAGTGAACAAATTCTCCAGGAGACAGCTGATCCGTGCAACCTACTGAGAAACTATCACCTCCTTTGTTCTAAGAGGTAGACCTCTACTCTTGGAACCTAAAGCTATCTTAGAAGTTTTGAAAATTACTGTTGTAAAATTTTGTTAAACATCCTCCAACTATGCATAACAGAGAAGGCAATGGCACCCCACTCCAGTATTCTTGCCTGGAAAATCCCATGGACAGAGGAGCCTGGTGGGTTGCAGTCCATGGGGTCGCAAAGAGTCGGACACAACTGAGCGACTTCACTTTCACTTTTCAATTTCCTGCATTGGAGAAGGAAATGTAACCCCACGCCAGTACTCTTGCCTGGAAAATCCCATGGACAGAGGAGCCTGGTGGGCTGCAGTCCATGGGGTTGCACAGAGTCGACTGAAGTGACTTAGCAGCAGCAGCAACCATGCATAATGAAATAAGGTAAGATTTGCTATTTCCAGCACTCTGCTATTTTTCTTCTAGAATCCTTAAAGGAACAATGATGCCTTGTCACATTTGCATTACAAAAAAAGGTTTTTTTAAGTTGTGATACACTAAAACTGGCTTTTATGTATACAGTTCTATGAGTTTTAAACTCATGTTTATAGTTAAAAAACCATGACCACAATTAGGAGAAATTTCATCATTCAAAAAAAAAAAACCTTCCTTTGTTTTCCCTCTGTATTCCACCTTCTCCCCAACTCTAACCCCTTATAACCAATGATATAACAGCCAAACCATAACAGAACTTTGATAATGTCATGTTCATGGTCTGCCCTCAACTGGAAGGATTTACAAGGTTCTGAATGATGGTTCTCAGTGAGAAATTTGCAGGGGTGTTTTTGGGTATCATAATTTGTGAAGGGTACTATTAGAGAAGGAACCAGGAAATGTTATAAAATATTTTTATAAAAAGGGAGCAGGAGTCTGATGACACTGCAAACCATACAGCCTCTCAACCGGGGTTCCTTACCTGAACCAAACAGAAAATAGTTGAGAAGAATAAAGGGATTTGAAACCCAAGTAAATGCTTACATATAATCACCTATATTTATTTTCTCTCTTCAACTTGGTATATTTTCATAAACACTATATATATAAACATGCTCTATACAGTAATAAAAATCTCCTTACCACTCTGTATCTGGGAAATGTTTTTCCTTGATCTTCAATTTAAATAAATTTCTAGTATATTTTATTACCTAAAGAAACTTTGCAAATGAGAAGTATTTCATAGGAATAGAGTATTTTAAATTTTCTTTAAGCCTCAGTAACAATTTGCTATTCAAAAGAAATGTTCTTCAATAGTATTAAAGTAAAATAAAAGGTATTATAAATTCTAATAAAATTCTTTCTCTTAGATATGTACATGACTGGGAAACCAACTCATAAAAACAGACTATGAGACCTCAACCTCACTGCAAAGCAATCAAATGAAAAATATGTACATATGACTCAACAGTTTCTGATTTTTCTAAGGAAGTAACAGTACCTTCTCGTTTTTAACAAGCTGCTTTCGGATTGCAGAATCCCGTCTGAAGCATAGTGCTTTACAACACGGTCCAAGATTACTAAGCAGATTTGCTCTTTCCTCTTTTCGTAGTAATGCAGCCATGTTGAGAGCCCCAAGTTCATGTTCAAAGAGACTGTCTACATCTTTCAAAAAAAAAAAAAACAAACACACATTAAGGTTTCTGAAAACAGAAATGTTAACAACTGCTTGGATGAATATTCCACAAAATCTATATATTAGCGAAGTCACCAACAGTGACTTCCCTGGGGGCTCAGACAGTAAAGCGTCTGCCTACAATGTGGGAGACCCAGGTTCAATCCCTGGGTCAGGAAGATCTCCTGGAGAAGGAAATGGCAACCCACTCCAGTACTCTTGCCTGGAGAATCTCGGACGGAGGAGCCTGGTGGGCTACAGTCCACGGGGTCACAGAGAGTTGGACATGACTGAGCGACTCACCAACACTGGTGAAGATAATTTTGTATATTAAACACAATATGTACTCTGTGAGAGAACGCCAACACGTAGTTTTGCTGCTGCTGCTGTTGTGTCCAACTCTGTGCGACCGACCCCATGGATTGCAGCCCCCCAGGGTCCTCTGTCCATGGGGATTCTCCAGGTAAGAATACTGGAGTGGCTTGCCATGCCTTCTTCCAGGGGATCTTCCTGACCCAGGGATCGAACCTGAGTCTCCTGAATTGCAGGCAGATTCTTTACCACTGAGCCACCAGGGAAGCCCAGTCTTGGCACTAGCCTCAAACAAAAATAAATATTCTGATAGTCACTTTTTTTAAGATATAAGAAAAGCAAAATGGGGAGAGAGAATTTAGACATGGGTTACTATGAGAAGAAAAGTTCAAGTTAATTAGTAAAATCAAATTCAATATATTGCTTACTGTCAACTACTAAAAGTTCTAGGTTCAGGACTTTACTACATTTGAATTTTGCCATAATAATGTGACTACTGTGTGGTCCCCCCAAAACTCTGTTGGGAAAGTGATTAGGTGTTAGATGATCTACAAATTTTATCCAATATTTGGTCACTGTAAAAACCTGGGACAATGTATCAAATTAAAATCACTTTAAGTCACAGCCTGCAAGGTGAGGAGAAAAATCTGTTAAAAATAGACAAAAAGGAAATAAAAATGTAGAAAACAGGACCAGTCAATAATTGAAAAGAGTAAGAATAGTTATTTCACAAATATTCATCAAATACTGTGTGTCAGGTACTATTCAAGGCAATGGCAAAATTAGATCACCAGACACTGGATATAGCAGTAAATAAAGCCCTATTCCTTAGAGAACTTCTACTCAGTATCATGTATTAGTTCTCTAATAAAGCTATCTCACCACCAAAAAGCAGGACTACTTGGTAAAGTGTTAGTCATTCAGTCGTGTTCAACTCTTTGAGACCCCATGGACTGTAGCCCACCAGGCTCCTCCATCATGGGATTTTCCACGCAAGAATACTGGAGTGGGTTGCCATTTCCTCCTCCAGGGGATCTTCCCGACCCAAGGATGGAACCCAGGTCTCCCACATTGCAGGCAGGTTCTTTACTGTCTGAGCCACCCCGGAAGCCTGGACTACTTGCTAAGGAAGAATCAAATCCCTCTTCACAGTATATATTTTCATTGTTTAAGTGATCATTAGTCAGGGACAAACTATAGTCTGATTGTGCTAACTATGCAACAGATTTTTAACCTGAAATGCCATTAACAAAAGTCACAGAAGAAAATAGCTGCAGATGTGGATAAGACCTTAGGGGTTTCATTACATATTTTATGCCCACAGGTGTTACATGCTTAAGATCACAGAGCCAATCAAACAAGGGAGAAAGAATGGGACAAGAACTTAAGACACTGGTCACTTGTCAGATTAACACACACACAGTAAGTATATTGGGCCATATTAAAATCAAGAGAGTTACTGCTTATGCTAACAGAGCTGAAGAGAGAACATGTATTCATGAAACATAAAACAAACTTTTTTCAATTTTATATTAGTAAAAAGCTCAATTCTTTCACCTCAAACTTTTTCACCTCATGAACATGATAAAACATTAAATAATCTTACTACTTTCATCTTTTACCTCCTATCCTTTTCACATTCCTCTTCCCCATTAATAAAGTATTAATAAGTGGCCAAAACACAGGGGATATTCCCAACCCAGGGACTGAACCTGGGTTTCCTGCACCGAGGGATTCTTTACCATCTGAGCCACCAGGGAAGCCCAAGAATACTGGAGTGGGGAGCCTATCCCTTCTCCAGGGGAACTTCCCGGCCCAGGAATCAAATTGGGGTCTCCTGCATTGCAGGTGGATTCTTGACCAGCTGAGCTACCAGTAAAGCCCAATAAGCTGCCAAAACACAGTGAAGTAGGTTTCAGATAACAGGAGAGAAAAAAAAAAAATCTACAAACTAAAAATGTTCTGGAATAGTAAAAAGCTGTAGCTGTTTTCACTGTCTAAAATCAATGTCATAAAATATTTTCAAACTAAATAGCAGTAGTAATATTTACTAGGCATCACTGCATGTCAAAAACTATTCTAAGTGTTTTACTTGTGATAACTCATTTGCTCCTCCTAACAATCAGGTGGCTTGGTGGTATAATAACTCCCAGTTTGCAGATGGTGACAGTATCATATAGATTAACCATAGCTAGTAAGTGGTATACACCTATTGGAATCCAGGCCATCTGGTTCACAGACTGAGTTCTTAAGCACTTTGTAAAAGGCTCAACCTAAACATCTGCATTTGAGCAAAATTCTCCATTTCCCAGGGGAAAGCACTGCCAAGATTATCAATCTGCTTAGACATGAAAAATATCTAAGTTCACTTTCCTAAGATCTACTTCATATAGCCCTGGGAAAACCACCGAGCACTATCACACTTACCTGTTAAAAAAGTAGTTTTGATGCAGAAAGATCATTGCGCTATGTTTACAACTCATCTGTAGGTTTAAATTACTCTCAAAACAAACTTTGACCATGAGGATTAAATAATGAAAATAAATGATTCTTTAAAAAAAATTCTTATAACTACTACATAAGAACAGAACAGAATCCTTTTCAAAGGCATCTTCATATTTATATTAGATATTACACACTTAAATTGGGGTGGAATTACCTTTGGGCTTTTCTAAAAGTCTCTGACATGTTTCTTTGACTTTCGAAAAGAGCTCAGGACCAGCCAACTTTTTAGAAATGCCAACTCGCAGCATAACAGCTCCAGGTGTGAATTTTAAGAGCGCGGCCCCAGGCTCTCGTGGTTCTTTTGGATGCTTTGGCATAAGACCAGACCAATCCACGTCTATCACATCTAGCGGATCTACAAAAAGTTATAGAATTTTCTTACACCAAGAAATACCATTCCTGTTATCCAGCGAGAAATACAGATTGAAAGACACAGGAAAGCAAACAATAAGTAATTTAAATTAAAAAAGGCATATTCTTAAAAGATTTTCTATAAAAACTAGTATTTAGAATCTAAGAAATTTTACAAATAAACTTCCTCACCAAAGGAAAATAGTAAAGAGGTCTTAGGCAAGTGCTCCCACCCATCCGCATTTCTTTTATATGTGGAATCTAAAAGAATCAAACAAACAAAAAGAAATCCACACTCACAGATACAGAGATTGGTGGTTTCCAAAGGGGGAGGGATCTGAAGGTTAGACAAAATGTGTGAAGGGTATCAAGAGGTACAAATTTGCAACGATAAATAAATCATGGTAATGCAATGTACAGTGTGGTGACTCTAGTAAACAACATTGTATTCCAACATTAAAAGTTGCTAGAAAGTATGAAAAGTTCTCATCACAAGGAAAAAAACTGTAACTTTGCATGGTGGTAGATGACACCATGTCAAGGTAACTAGACAATGTGGTGATCATGTTGCAACGTATATACAAATGTCTAATCACTATGTTGTGCACCTGAAATTAATGTAATTTATGTCAATTATACTTCAATAAAGAAAAACCCAAAACAAACAAAAAGCAAGCAAACAAGCCCCTAAGCAAACCCATCCCTACAAATAATGCCCTTAAATTGCTTCAGAGAGTCTCAATGAAAGAATTCCACTATTTCACTAAGACTAGGTCTGACACTTTGAAACTTGGTACCAGAATCATCCAAGGGTTCATTAAATCTAGGAACGTATTTAATTTCCATGTGTACATGCACAGACAAACACACAGACACTACTTTTAAAAAAAATAAATAATTCATTATGAAATAACTAAGAATCAGGCAGTGGACAGAATTAAAATTGAGAATAATCTATCCACTGACAAGGAACAGCTTAGGAAATTAACAAAATAATGTTCTATTCAGAAACACCTAATAGTTGATGATAATAAAGATAACATACATACATTATACATTAGTATAAAAAACTGTAAAATACAAGAGCAAATTAAGTCAAAGATTTAATATTCTACATACCCAAAAACCCTTACTATGATAAATTGTTAGTAATAATTAGACTAATTGGGATGATTCAACAAGAACAATAAAGGTTGCTGATTCATGGCGTAGTCACTGGAGTAAGCTCTGGCTTACTATAAGTGAATATTTCACTACAAGTGAAAATATTACTGAATTTAGAAAATCAAGAGAAGTATAAAAACAGTGTTCAAATACAACCTCAAGTTTTTAAGTTTCTGAATGGTCATTTCAACAGTTTGTGGAACATAGTTGTGAAGCTCTGTACCATATACCTACCATCTGTTTTAAATTCCAGGTCCTGCAACAGGAATCAAACTCTGGAAAAGAAATCTTACAATTGTGCTATTTTAGATACTGCCCTTTTCAATTTATAGGCAATGTCTATTTAAAAATGAACAGAGCATAATAACTATAATTTTTGCTTTACTGGCCTTTCAATGTTAATTAAAACACAACTGGGAAGATTCTGTGTTTTATAAATTCTTACAGCATGAAAGGGAACAAAGAATACCTCAATATCATAATTAAATACCTTTTATGTTCAACCACCTCTGCAATGATTACCTGGCATCTTCTCCTCATCCTGTTGGTCCTCCCGCTTTTCAGCATCACCTGCCAGAATTTCATCTAGTTCGTCATCGCTAATTGGCTCGTATCCTTCTCCAGCACCAGATCCCAATGAATGCGCATCATCTAGCTTGGATTCGTCGTCTCCTGCTAAACAGAAAAATTAATTTCACGCCAAAGAGAGCATTAAGGGAAAGGGACATCTAAGTGAAACCAAAGAGGAGAGGCTGGGCACACTAAAAAAATTGAGAAGCATTTTTTAATTTAAAACTACATTTCTTAATTATTCAAAAGACTTGATAATTCCAAAAGAAAACTTAAAAAAATGAATTAAATTTAGTTTTAATGACAAGAGCACAGTATGGACAGCAATATCGAAATAGGTTATAAGATTACAATTAAAATATGAGAAATAAAATCTACCACTAACATATTAGTACTAGTTAACTTTTTATAATAAAACTAATTCAGAGAAATCCACTAATTTCAAAAGGATGCATTAATTTCTTTATCAAAATATATTCAATTTTAAAAGCTTACAAACTAATTACTAGAATTAATATGAAGTTTAAATCTTAGCTCATAATATTTTATTCATGATATGAAGAACTCTACAGTGGTGAGGTAGAAATTTAAGTGCCATTAATCCCCATCCCCCTCTGCCACCAATCTCCCAATTCATCTTCCCTATTCCAATGTTTTCCTTTAATTAATATATGCAATTTTAAAAGATTGCTGTAATATAGTTTTAAAGTATTTTTAGTAACCACTAGTGTATCTTCCATTTCTTTATTTACCAACCTGCCTCAACTACTTATGCTAAAGCTTTGTCTCTTGGTGAGTTACTTACAAACTTGAATTATCATAGTACTACACAGTACATTTAAGATTTCTAAGCAGGTTCTATCCATATACTTTATTGAGTTTACAACACTAGGTTTCAAAATGCAACAGTATCCTTCATAGATATAAACTTGCAGCAAATAAACTATGGGATGTTTCTAGTCATTCTAATAATTTTCTACTCTATTAAATTCTGTACTAATCTCATACCCCCACCAATTCACTTGTAAACAATTTTAACAACTTCATTATACAAATATACATCTAAACATAAATGCAAATAAAAGGATTTCTAACTTTTCAAGCTTATCAAACTCATTGTCCTACTTTAAGTGGGTAAAGTTTTTCATTTCACTTCTAAATCTCCATGCCACATTATCCACGGTCATAACCAATGAATGGTATATTTTATGGGATGAAGGGCACAAATTCCAATCACAGGAGAGTGATTATAATGATTAGTTCAAATTACATTCAATTATACCCCAAGGCTGTACCTCCAACAGTACTATGGCTCACAAATTGATGCTACTGAAATTCAAATTTTAGATAAAAATGAATGTGATGACCACTGAGGTAGAAACGTTTTTGTCAAGTAGAAAAAAATATGTTAACAGTTTGGTGTACTGAAATATATCTAACCAAATAACCAAAAGATACAAGGATGTTTATAGTTTTAAAAGAATGTGAACAACTTTATTCTGGGACCAGTGCTGCAATACAGCAAATAAAAGGAATGTAAAATATTACTGCTCATGTACTAAGCATCCCAGAAGTTTCTTGGGGGCTTGACGTGGAAAGGGTACATAAGCACTGGTATCAGAATTGGACAGTTCATGGAGGCAGAACTTCCAGGAGCATTCTCAGGGGAGGCCATTACTATTGTTACCCTGGACTATAATTCACCACAGAATAAGATGTAGGGCAGGTATGGACAGGCAGGACAGATTTTCATGCATCAGCTATTTATTGTGTTCTTGCTAAAGGCTTGAAGATAAAGAAATAAAAACCTATGGTGCCTAACAAAGGAGTACAATATAATGGGGAGAGAACCATGGAAAATAATTTACAATATGGTGCAGAGATGCTTTTATTAAAGATGTATAAACAAGGTGCTTTGGCAATTTGAAAGACTAAGCACCTTTAGCAGAGACAGCTTCAGAGAAAATAAGGCATAAACTGGGACTTGCTGTTTGAGTAAGAAAAGACAGAAGGGAAAAGGTCTGTCAGGCAATGGGAAGAGAGGCTCAGAGAAGGCTTGAGGGGGGAGACCACCCAGAGAACACAGAGGTGAGTCAGTATGTACAGCAGGCTGGGGGTGAAGGATGGACGATGGAGGGTCACGCAGTGGCAGCTGGCTCTGACTGGGTAAAAGGGTGTACGTGGCCTTCTCAGAGTCCCTCATTCTAGGAGCTGGGAGTCAGTTTTAATAAGGGACATCAGGATCCTCAGATTTTACTACCTATGGCAGGCTCTGGAACCCATTCCTGCAGATACTGAGAGACTGAAGGATGACTATAATTTTATCTCATTTAGGCTTATTAGAACCAAGTCTACCTTAAAAGTACTAACGAGGGGAACAAGTTTTTTAAGTATCATAGGCCTTTTCCTTATAAAATCTATTTTCCCTAAAACGATGGAGTCAATAATCATATCAGATGACCCTTCAAAAGGAAGTACTGGTTTCCTATGAGATCTGAGAAGAAATGGGGCAGTGAAACAGATGGAAAGGAGTGACACTCACCTTCCACACTCTCAGCCCTCTCAGCTTTACTTGTATCTTCAAATCCCTGCACAGATCCCAGATCTTTATCCAGCCTTTCTTTATCCAAAGCTCCAGAGTCTCGGGAACCACCTTCTAGGTCTCGGTCATGTTCACTCTCCAGCTTGACTTCACTGCGTTTTACAGACTCTACTTGAGAACCCTCAAACGTCCTGTCCCTGTCCCTCTCCCGGTCCCTTTCCAGGGCATCGGAGAGTAGTCGCTCCCTCTCCCTGTCCAAGTCTCTCCTCTTGTCCCGTTCCCTCTCCCGTTCCCGCAGTCGGTCCCGGTCCCTATTCCGGGGCCAATCTTTATCGGCATCCCGCTCCCAGTCTCTCTGTCGCACGTCCCTCCTTTCTCGCTCCCGCTCTCTCTCGTGCTCATAACGGTCGCGCTCTTGAAGCCTCTCTCTGCTATCAAACGACCCCGATCTTGAGTGGACCTGTCGATCTGACTCAGGAGAACTTCTTCTGGAACTATGGCTTCTTGAATCCTGGCGATCTAAAATCAATGTACCATATACAAAGACTTTAACACATGATAAAACAGAAATAAAACGCTTTAACACAAGGTCTTTTAAAACTTAAAATTTCACTTTTTCTGTACTTGTTTTAAATTATCCAAAGAACTCATCTTAAGTAAAAAATCCATCTCAAAGAAAAACATCCACCACTCTTCAGTAGTGTCAAATATGCAAAAGGCATATTTGTTTCCTTGTTTATTTCCACTATAACCACAAAAGATCTTTAAAGAAATAGGTATGTAAACATTAGTAAGCATTAATAGAACTGATCATTTCATTATGCACCTCCCCACTACCTTATATACCCAGTCAACAGAGGAAAAGCATTGGTTGCAAGAAGCAGAACCAGAAGGTTAAAATTTTTAGGCATCAATAGAGAACCTGAACATGTAAATGCTTTCCACCAAAATATACTACTAAAATCCTGATGTTAAACTGAGTGACATCACTGAATGTACCTCTACTCTATCGGTATTAATGTGATAATAGGTAACATCATGGTGGGATGGCTAAGCTTTTTGAGCTCCTTGAAAAATTTAAGGCAGTGTATAAACAACTTAGCATTTACTTTAAAATTACAATTCGAACAAAACATAAAAATGTACAAAACATACTCACATAAGAAACACTGGTTAGTTTATAATTTGTTTTTATTACCTGAGGAAGTACTTCGACTAGGTTCTCCACGCTTTAGCTGATCAATCCTGGATTTTCTCTCTCCTGTGATTTCCAGACTTTTGGTTTTTTCTCTGTCTCTTGAGCCGCTATGCAGCACTCTCTTTCGACCGTTCTGGTCATCCCCACTTCGATGAGCAGAGTCGTTGGATGGGGAGCGGAGACGGCCAGAGGTGTGACTGCGATTACTCCGATTGCTGCCGAGGCTGCTGCTCCGCTTCTGATCCACTGGCTTGCGATGTGGTGCGTCTTCTATAGTAACATGAGGCGCCTCTACCTTTTCCGCTCGTGTTCTGTGGCACTTCCTATGGGAGTCTTCATTGGTAAAAGAGGTATTGGTGGTGAGGAGGGCGGAAGTGGAAATGGTGGTGGTCGATGTGCTGAAGGCCGAGGCAGGGGTGGTCGCGGCAGCAGCCAGAGGAGGCGGGGGAGGAGGGAGAGAAGATGGGGAAGGGGTCCTTCCAGGGGTGGCGGCAGTGGCAGCATGCTCTGGCTCTGTCATGTCCGTGCGGTCAGGCACGTCCTCATCAGACCAGTCACTGAACGCTGTATCTTCTTTCTTCTGAGGGTCCTCTAGAGCGCCATCCTTATCATTGGACATGTCAGCCAGTTCCTCTTTGGCTGTGATAGGTGGAGTCCTCGGGCCTCTTTTCTTCTTACTCTGCTGCACGGTTTCTTCATCAGAGATGTCAGAATCACCTCTGGACCTCTTACGCTTTTTTTCAACACTTTTCTTCTTCTGTCCTTTTTTTGGTGAAAATACTTGACCATCTTCAGACACTGTCTCTGTGTTTCCCCTCCCTATTCCAACATCATCATCTTTCTTTCTCTTAATAGGTTTCTTTTGAATCTTTGCTTTTCTCTTGTTCTCCTCATGAGCTCCATCAGAGATGTCTCGATCTTCGGATGGGTGGTGTCCTGTCAGGTCTTGTGAACGAGTTCTGGAGCTCTCTGTGATTTCTGTCTGTTCTCTCTGCTTATCTACAGAAGAAACTTTCTCTTTGAAATCTAGCTCTTCATAGCGCCTTGAACTTTCTTTTCTTTCTGGTTTACGATCATCTTCTCTCCATCTACCCTGTCTGTCTTCTGTAAGGTGTGATGGACTAAGAGAACGTGATTCTTGAGGTCGAACAACCTGGCTCAAGAGTCTGTGTTTTTCATCTAGACAAAAAGATAAAAGTCATCAGACTCTTATCATGTTAACAATATTGCATGCTATCTATAAATAACAAACCAGTCTCTCCCTTTTCATTTTAAAGGTTTAAAAATAACAATAATTTCAGTAAAAACCGAAGTATGGCTTTACTACAACTAGTGGGAAATGACAAGTGCCACTGTGGTAAAATGACTATATATTTCAAACACAAACTTTTTTTTAGTCACAATGTGATATATTCAGAAGCAGCAGAGCAAGTAAAAATATTAAATCTTAATTCATCATTTCCTATTGATGTAAAAGAATTGTCTCATGGTTACAAATAAATATAACTCTAGAAACAGGGAACACAGATTCTGCTTACTTTTATCATCTCCACTGTTGTAGGCATCACTGTCAGGAGAATGCTCTCGCCGGCGCTTAGGTGACTGACGAGGGCTAGGACTCCCTTCATTTCTATAGCGCTTCCTAAATCAGACAAATGTAATTTATAAGATTCCAGGGGATGAAAAAGATTTCTTTACCACTTTTTTTTTTTACTATTATTTCTTACTGTAACTAGAATATGTAATTGTAGGATAACAATACTATCAGAGCTATCTGTATCATACAAAGGGCATTTATTTAGCATCTTTAACAAAATTCTTTATCTGTTGAGACTTAACGATTGTGGACTTAAAATACATGGCGCCATCTCTGCTTTTTTTCACCATACATGTAGAATCACTCACTGAAATTCGCCAGATTTAATTACTGTAAAGTGGTAACACAGCAGAGGATTCAACCCTACTGAAACTTATTCATCAGTTTTACTGTTTTATGATATAGAAATACCTTTTGTCGGAAAGCCAAATGAGAAAATCTAGTATTGGCTTTGGGGTCAAACAAGACTTGAGTTCAACTTTTAGTCATGTTACCTTATTATGCAATCTTAGGTAAATTCTTTGAAGTCATTCTTAGCTTTTTCATCTGAATATAGGTGAAAAATGGGGGTCCATCTCATAAAACTGCAGTGAGGAATAAATTTGTTATGTCATAAGCCCAGTGCCTATCATGTTGTGGGCACACTAGTAAAAATTGGTTCTAACTCACCTCTTAGAACTAAATCATCTACTTAATGACAAATTAATAATTCATATGTTCATTATTTCTTATTCTTTAGTTAAACTTTAGATGACTAGTGTTCTATATCTTTGGATACTTAAGTTACTCTAGTGTTTTCCTATATGTTCACTGAATTTTGACCACTTTTCTCCTTTTAACACAAACACTGTTTCTAAGTATGATGGCCAGAAGTTGGGTAACACTGTAGCACATGAGCACAGGTACCTCCTTGATGGCTCATTTATACAGATGAGCAACCAGGTAGAAAATGAGGCCCCAGATGCAGTATGACAACTGACTGGCCCAAGCTTGTAACAGTTCCTTATCTAAAGCTCCTGCCATCATCAGGTAGTCTATTTCCCCATCCTTTGAATCTGGGCTAACCCAGTGACTTACTATGTATGACAAGAGGATGTGGTGAAAATGACACTGTGGTTAAGTCTGGAGATTTAGGACTCAAGAGGCCTTTCACCTTCTGCTTTTGCCTTCTTGGTATGTTTCTACTATCATATGCAAAAACAGAGTTTAGATTATTAGAGGAAAAGAGGTCAAGATACCCCAAGCAACAACCAGCACCAATCACCAGACATGTGAGGACAGCCATTTGGGGTTATTCAGACCTAGCTGACCTGCTAGAGTGACTGGAGAAACAGAGTGATCCTACATGAGACCAGTAGAAGAGCCACTCTGCTGAGTCAAACTGGAAACCCACAGAATCATGACCAAATAAACAATGGTGGTTTTAAACTTCCACCATGACAATATACTGAGATGACAATAGATGAAAATATCAAGATATTTATCTCATATACCAAGTTACTTTATTGAGCAGCTGACTACTAAATTTCTGGGGCCCTTGTCAATGCTTGGAATATTTAACCACGACAAGCTCAAAGAAATTCTGGCTACTGTACATTGAGATAAGAAGCATGAAAAATATAATCAAAGCATAGGACTAAAAAATAAATAACAAATATTTCAGAATTTTAATCTTAGAAGATACAGAGTTAGAGGCCAGGGAAAAGAGAAATAATACATATTTTGTGCCTACATGTGTTAAAAGTAATATCTGAATTTTATGTTTAATGTGAGATATTTTTTAATGTGGAGTGAGAGAAGCCAGAGAGTGAACTATAGAAAACCATGGCTGCAGACTGAAGGGAAGGCAAGACCTAATGGAAGAAGCTTCCATTTCTGTGGTATGTTGTTTGTCTATAACCAAAATCCGTAACAGCAATGAAGAAAAATGCCTAAATCACAGAGTGTATTCACCATGAAGCAAATGAGCTAGAAGTAGGGACAAAGAAACTGAAGCTATATAAATGATTTTCAGTTTGTCTTAACAAATTTAACTGTATCCTCTATTCTAGTTGGCATTTAAAAAAAAAAAAAAAGGCCTTTAATTCAGATGTTCGGTTTTGGGTCTGTAAAACCTCAAAATTGACCAATCAGAGTCTGGGATTCTCATGGCTATAGTGACTGGCTCAGCTCTCTTGTTTACTCCTCAACTGAAGGCTATAACTGAGCTGAAAGGTATAACCCTGGGGTCATCCTAACCATCATTTGGGGAAAAGTTTTCTAAGTCTAAAACTAATACATAAGAAAACAGTGCAGAAATACCATTCTTGATGCTTTGAGAATCTGAGTATAATCACATCAGAACAAATAAAAACTAACCCTGAACTTCCCACATACCTGAGCAAATAAATTTTTTGGTATTAAAAAAAAAAGTGAGAGAGAGAAAAGAAAAGAGAAAATGCCCTCGTATATAACAACACATCTTTTTACTGCAGTAACTTTTGCAATGCCATGGACTGTAGCCCGCCAGGCTCCTCTATCCATGGGATTTCTCAGGCAAGAATACTGGAGTGGGTTGCCATTTCCTTCTCCAGGGGATCTTCCCAACCCAGGGATCCAACTCACGTATCTTGCTTGGCAGGCAGGTTCTTTACCACTGATCCACCTGGGAAGCCCGTACTAAACAAAACAACAACAACAACTATAACTCCACAGTCCAGAGAGGATACCTCTCTCTCATCTTCTTTGGTGGTTCCAGAAGTTCCTCAGTTCTAAGACATTATGAATGCTTCTGCAGCCTGCGGGTGGTGACTCTAAACTTCTAAGTACACAAAACTCATAAAGGACTAACAGGAACAGGACAAACATTATGTCCTGGTGACAAGCCAACTCTATTAACTAGTTATACAGTGGATATGAAGGGATGGGACACAAATCCACTGGTTCTACCACTGTTCGGTTGGATTCCTGTTAAAAACAAGTCTCCAGCAGTCAAATAAACTAATGTGCCATCAAAAATGGCTGCAAACAGTAAACAAAAATTATTAACTGTATCCGTTGGATACAGAAATAAAAGAATGAGAAAAGTTACTTTTATCCCTTGACAATTCAAAAGATGTTGCATGCCAAGTAAAGATAATAAAGCTGAGATACACGAAAATGCAGAGAGGAAAAAGAATGAACCGGGTAGGTGGGAGGGGGAATCGGGATGGGGAATACATGTAAATCCATGGCTGATTCATGTCAATGTATGACAAAAACCACTACAATATTGTAAAGAAATTAGCCTCCAACTAATAAAAATAAATGAAAAAAAAAAAAAAGAATGAACCGGGTATTAGGGGCCGGAGAGAAACTTAATGTACGGAACCTTCTGAATTCCTCCTCTGAAATATAACAGCCTGGCCCGTGGCCACTTACTTGGACTTTCTCTCCTCGTGGCCGTCTCGGGGGTTCCGGTCTTCCCGGACGTCTTCCCGCTTTTCCCTGCGGTCCTCGCGAGCTTTCTCCTTGTCTTCCCACTCCCTCTGGCGCTCGCGCTCGCGCTCCCTCTCCCTCGCTCTCTCCCGCTCGCGCTCGCGCTCCCGTTCCCGTTCCCGCTCGCGCTCCCGCTCCCGCTCCTCGCGCTCGCGCTCCCGCTCTTTCTCCCGGTCGCGCTCTCTCTCTCTCTCCCTCTCTCGGTCGTGCTCCCGGTCTCGCTCTCGCTCCCGGTCTCTCTCCTTCTCTCTTTCTCTCTCGCGCTCCCGCTCCCGCGCCCGCTCTCTTTCCAGTTCCCTTTCTTTCTCTCTCTCCCGGTCCCGCTCGCGCTCTCTCTCCCGCTCGCGCTCCCGTTCCCGGTCTCTCTCCCTAGCCCTTTCGTCTCTTCTATCATCCGTTCTGTCTACTCTTCGTTCCTCTCTTCTTTCATCACGCTCAAGCTCGTCATTCCTTCCCTGATGTCGAATTGGTGAGCTTGGTCTTTGATCTAGAATGAAAATCAAGTTTCATCAGTGATTAATTTGACAGATAAAAGCTACTGTTAAGACAGTATGGCAAATCTTAAACTTTATCTGTGTATAGGGTCACACTGGTAACAAATATAAATCAGGTACTATATTTACTTTTAATTTAATCATCCAAATAATCGCCACTAGATGTTTAAAAATATTCTTTTCTTAAAGGTCACTTTTATTTGCCCTCTAACTACCCTGTTTCTGCTCCCATCAGCCCCGCTCCCACCTCCCGTGATCCGCCTTTCATCTTTCTATGCATGCTCCCTGCCCTACCTCCAGCCCACTGCTCCAACCCCACTTTCTGCCATCTCTACCCTTCACCTCTGATCTTCTCTGTCCCCCCAGCAGGGCCTGAGAACACTGGTGGCAAAGGATAGGGGCAGCAGGAGGTGTAGAACATAGGAGCTGAAGGAAAAAAAAAATTTCCCTCGTAAGTCACACCTCTAATTTCAGGCCGAAAATATATACACAAAGTGCAGCTACTATGTGAGGAAAATATAGTAGAACAAAACATGTCAGTATTTGTTGCTGAGATATCAATTTATCATAAACTAGAATATTAAGGGTACTGATGCTTAGCAATCTTGAAATAATATAAAAAGTGTTTCATATTAGTGATATATATTTATAAATAACTACTAATAAACTGAAAACTTTAATCATATAACTACTCAGATGAAGAGCTGTTTTCTTAAAATGTTAAATGATAATGATAACCTCATCACATTTATATACATATATATATATTTTTTAATACATGAATCATATAAACAGACTGAATACATGCTGCCCAATATGCCCAATTGAGCAAGAAATTAGTCTGGGATCAAAAAATGTCTAAGAAAATGGCAAGAACCTTTCCACAGAGATAGCCAGTTTTGAAAAGCAGGTCACTGTGCTAGGATCTAGGCTACTACAATGTCTCTATTTTCATACTGCAAAGTAATGTTTACTAGTTAGTCATAAAGGTCCTAACACAATATGGCCAACAGGGTTTGTACATGAAATCTCTGACATCAACTTATTAAGCAGAATAATTTTAGGATATTTGTAGGGAAGGGGTCAATATAGTAATTTGAATTTCCTTTCTTATCACAGATAAAAAAGATAAGAATTATCCATGCTTATTCTTTAGAGGTTATATATCAAGCTATGAAAGTTCACAGAAGTTTAAAATTGAAAGAAAACTAAACTCTGTCCACCCCCCCTTTCCTCATTCTCTTCTTAGAATATATGGTCCAAAAGTTGATTTATCAAAGTCACAGAGATGGTAAATACATGAGGCTCTCAGGACTAGAAGTCAGTTCCCTTACACCCCCACTTTTTTTTTAACTTTTGCTGAAATCAATTTAAATTTAAAATTGTTCCATGTACTACACGCTAGTTCCTGGAAAGCTATATACTCATGTCTTTGACTGTCTGAATTCCTGGTTTGGGGGTCATACTAATGTCACAAAGATTACAAAACAACCTGAAACAAATTCAATACTGTAATTTATAGCAATTCACACTTGAAATTTCTGATTATAGCAATGTTAGGGAATAGACTGCTTTACTCAGGCAAGCTTTTTCTGACAAATGAAAACTATCCTCCCAACCACACTGACAAAGTTCCATACTTCAAAGAAAATGGAAAGGAACATCACTTAATACATCTCATCTTCTGTATCCTTCCCCAAAAATGTGTTTTTCAAAGGTACACCTCTCTTCATATATTTCCTTATGTTAATGAATGGCATGCCCACTCATGAAACCCATTCTGAGTTTTCCAAGTTCCACTGTATTCAAGTACCATCAATTTCACTCTCAAAATATTTCTTTTTTTCCATTTTCTCTCTCAATTCCTACAATTCATATTATTAACTTAGACTTTGGTCTTCTTAGATGCCCATGTTATCAGTGGTCTAACGTCTTTGGTCTTTTCGTAGACTCTCTAATGCTTTTATTTTTATTGATGAAAACTAATATTTTTTTCCAACTGCTTAAAAAAAAAAAGGCTGTTTAAAAGCACTTATTATAGGCAGTGAAAAAGGCAATTAAATCCAAATTTTTTAGCCTGACTTATTAGGCCATTTATAACATGGTCTGTGGTCTCTCACCCATCCTCTTTCCTTCTTTCCTTTCAATTGTAGCACACCTCTACTCCAACCTCATGATTCTTTACTCCCCAGAGCATATGTTTTTTTTCAGTCCCGTGTGTCTGCACATCCTAGACCCTCTACCTGACAGTGTTTCTTCCATGGCTCCTTCTAGCCAACTCCTATTCATTCCTCAGGCCCTAATTCAGATGTCTCTTCTTCAGGATGCTTTTGTGGATTGCCTCAGATTTCTATGTGCATCTTTGTCTTCTCAAAGAACTTCATACAGTAGTAGTATTTATCATATCTGATTGTCTACCCTAATCAGCCTGTGAAGAACTAATGGGAAGATTTAAATTCCTGAGCACAAGAACAAGGTCTTGAGCACATCTCTACCTTTGACCTCTATCCATCTCCCTTTGCTCACCATACTCTAGTCACACTGATCTTCTTTCAAATTCTAGGACATATGAAGTTATTTCCCATCTCAGACAATTGGCACATATTCTTTTCTCTGCATGTAATGTTTTTACCCTCAATACCTACAATGATAGCTTCTTTCCTTGCATTTATACCTCTGCATATATGTCATCTCAAATTTTTCATAAGCACACTATTTAAGGAAAGTAGGTCCCACTCAACCTTTATTTCTATCTGGATCTCTTATATGTTTCCTTGAAAGCATCCACCAATCATTTCTGTCTTCAGGGGGGATATTGTCCCTTTTATAAAGTTTTACATGTGCAAGAACTGTTGTGCTCCAAAAACCCAGCAAACTGCAGGAGTACTCAATAATCATTTGTAGAATATATAATCAAAAGTATATTTTTATTTCAACTGTACAACTGATATTTACTGAAGTAGTTATAGTAAAATAAAATAGAAACAACAGGACATGTACTCAGAAAGCCTGAGTTTGAATTTTAGCTTTAGAACTTTATTCTCTGACAATGAAAAGAATCATTACCCTTCTCTTGGCCCAAGTCTCCTAAATTATAAACACAGATTTCCTTATCATACCTAAGCTCACAGATATTGAAAGATAAAATGATTTAAAACATACATTTTCTGACTTAATACTGTAAAGAACATTAAGCCAGAGAGTATATAAAGAGCAACTTTCAAAGTTCTTGGTAACTCAATACATATGTGGTTGAACTAAATAAGACTGAAACCAAATGCTACACTGAATTCAGGCATGAGATGAGAAAAATCTGAGAGGGACATGAAACTAGAAAAAAAGAAAAAATAATAAGATATAAAAAAAAGCATTACTAGGACATGGTGTTAGATTAAAGAGAATAAAGACTGGTAAATCAGTGTTTGGGAAGAAATAATTTCAGGTTAAATAATTTCAGTTAAAACAGATCATATCAACTCCAGCCTCATCTGTACCTAAGGAAATCATACACATCTTTCAACCCAAATGCATTAGGCTTGCTATAACAAACTCAACTCAGCAACTTGTATCTATGTCTCTGATCTCATCTATGCTCTCAAAAGTACAAGGTGTCTTAGTATGTTCGTTCTCCTCTTATTATGACCTGACCCATATCAAGATAAATGTTACCTCATATATAATACAGCCCACTGTGAAGCATCAACACTCAGTTCCCTACTCCATCAAGTTTTATATGATGTTAACTTCAGCATTATAGCAAACCTTACTTTAGTAACTAGGAAAAGTTAGTAAGACCTTCATAAGGCCTTCATAAGGTCACAGATGTTCAAAGGCCTAACACGTACTGACAATAAAAGCTTGTTTAAGGAAGTACTTATAACCCTTCTAAACGGCCTTCTAGTATCTTGCTTCAATACTGTTTTAAAAGGTCTTCTAGTAGAGTAACGGAAAAATTTTTAGCTTAGCTTAAAATATACAAGAATATAAAGTTAGCTAAACAAAGTATTACATATTCTCAGGAAGGAACATGAATAAACTATTTCTGCAGACAGCCCCTAACCCATCACCACCGCCTTTGTCTTGTTCCTCCCTGGCAGTCCTTACAAGTCTGTGTATCACAGCTAGTGAGTGAGTGAGTGGTCAGGACACTCGGATGAGAAACTATCTCCTGAATCAGAAATACCTGAAATGTTACCCAAGCACCTATGTTCTTGAAAACACTGTGAGCTGTTTGGTTAAGGTTAGAGACATGCAGCAAGGCACCTCAACTCTTGCAGTATGCAAGTACCTACTACTTCAGTACCTGCTCTGTTACCACGTTGAGTACTGGTGGCCAGTTATTTAGATAATCTCTACTAAACTAAGTAAAAAAGATCATATGACCAAATAACTTAAAATGTGCCAACAAACGAAAGTCTTAAAAGATATTTTATGTTAAAAAGTAAACTGATAATGGCTGGAAAAAAGCTACAATTCTCCCTATCAACACTGGTGACTATTTAACAGTATTTCACTTAACAAACCTCTGTCTCTGTTGTCACGACGGTCTCTCTCCCCATGTCTTCTCTCAAAGGAAGAATCTCTTGCTTGCTCTCTGCTGTCTCTTTCAGGGTATCTGTCTCTCTCAGGGTAGCTGCTTCGCGTCTCCCAGCTGTCGTGATAGTTGCTACTACTGCTGTGACTATCAATCTGAGAACCTCTTGTGCCTCGACTTCCTAAACAAAGGATATTCACACAAACATTTAACACAAACACTTCATTCAACAAGTTGTCAGTCACAATCCTTTCTCCCCCAAAACATATAAAGATGTGTCATTGTTGGGTTTTTTTGGTGAGTTTTTATATTTGAAAGTGTGGTAATCATTGTTGAAAATGATATTATATGCTGGATTAGAATACTCAAAGTGTCTAAGGACTGACTTGAGTAAGCTTAAGTCCTCATTTTCCCTTCCTTAAAAAAAAAGGACACATAATGAAATCATAAAGCAAACAGACTCATTTCAATTAAGCCAAAAAACAATGGAACAAAAAATAAAAACTATTATTGCATATCTAAATTACAGAAACACCATAAAAACATTTAAAATATGAATTATGGATATATCACATTGACTACACTTTATAGTGAAAGCATTCTAATATAAAACCAAGGTATGCTGTTGACAGTAGGTGATACCTGAAAATCTTCATTAAAAAACTGGGAAATGAATGTTCACAGTAGCTTTGTTATAGCCCCAACCGTAAAGTACCCAAATGTCTTTCAATGGGTGAAAGGTTAAACTAACTGTGGTACATCCAGATCATAGAATATTATAAGTTACAAACTACTGATACATGCAATTACTTGGAAACTTAAGGAAATTCTGCTAGTGAAAAAGCCAATCTCAACAGGATACACACAGCAGGATTCAGTTTATGTAATACTTTTGAAATAATAATTACAAGATAATAGACATATTAGTGGTGGCCAGGGGTCAAGGACAGGGGAGGAGATTTGAATGTGGCCACAAACAGATAACAAACAAAGTCCTGCGATGATATAGCTGAGGATCTTGATTGTGGTGATGGTAATGCAAGGCTACAGAGTCACTATGGAAAATACTAAACAGTATGGAAGTTCATCAAAAGATTACAGAACTACCATCTGATCCAGCAATTCCACTTCTGGGTAGAGAGCCAGAGAAATTGAAATTAGGATCTGAAAGAGATATCTGTATTCCCGTATCTGTATTCCCATGTTCACTGCAACATTATTCACAACAGCCAAGACAGAAACAACCTAAATGCCCAATGAGAGATGAATGGGGAAGAAAATGTTGTATGTACACATAATACTTTGGCCACCTGATGCAAAGAGCTGACTCATTGGAAAAGACCTTGATGCTGGGGAAGACTGAAGGCAGGAGGAGAAGGGGATAACAGAGGAAAAGATGGTTGGATGGCACCACTGACTCAATGGACATGAGTTTGAGCAAACTCCAAGAGATGGTGAAACCTGGCGCACTGCAGTTCATGGGGTTGCAAAGAGTGAGATATGACTCAGCGACTGAACAACAACAGATATATATAATGGATTTTTCTTTCTTGTTTTTAGTCACAAAGTGGTGTCTGACTCTTTTGCAACTCCATGGACTAGAGCCTGCCAAGCTCCTCTGTCCATGGGATTTCCCAGGCAAGAATATGGAGTGGGTTGCCATTTCCTTCTCCAAGTGATCTTCCTGACCCAGGGATGGAAACTGAGTTTTCTGCATTGGCAGGTGGATTCTTTACCCCTGAGTCACCTGGGAAGCCCTATAAAGGATTATTCACCCTTTAAAAAGAATACAGTCCTGCCATTTGCAACAACATGGAAGACATTTTGCTAAGTGAGATAAGTCAGGCACAGAAGGGCAAATGCCACGTGATACCATTTATATGTGGAAATTAAAGTAGTCACACTCATTGAATCAGAGTAGAATGGTTTTACCAAGGGGCTGGTGAGAGGGGGAACATGGAGGATTAGTCAAGGGGTACAAAATTTCAGTTGTACAAGATGAGTAAATCACAGAGATCTACTGTACAGCATGGTGTCTACAGTTGATAACATATTGGAAACTCAAAAATCTGGTGAGAGGACAGATCTCATATCAATAGCATTCTCATCATACACACATACAAGTAATAATACAGTGAGAGGAAACTTCCACATGTTAATGGCACAGATTGTGGTGGTTTCAAGGGTATACACCTATCTCCAAGCTTATTAAGTTGTATATATTAACTGTGTATAGATTTCTGTATGTCAATCATACCTCAGTAAAGTGGTTTAAAAAAAAACTGCATAGAGCTACACACACACACACCTTACAGGTAACAGGTTTTGAGCAGTGAAAGAATTACAGTATAATTCTAAATACTTTAATTGGGATGTTTTAATAATCAAAATATCTATAAAGACTATTTTAATAATTAAAGACTAGAGAAAGAAATTTTAAAAAGACTATAAATGAGCTACATATAACATCAAGGAATGAAAAGGTAAATGTCGGAATAGATGCTAAGAGAAAATTGGTAAAAGAAAAAAAAAAAAGTCATGTCTGAGGATACAACTCAGAAAATGAAACAGAGACAGAGATGGAAAACCTGAAAGTTACGAATCAAGGAGAACATATCGGGAAGACTGAACAAATGTCTGAGAGTGAAAGTGAAGTCGCTCAGTTGTGTCCAACTCTTTGCGACCTCATGTCCATGGGATTCTCCAGGCAAGAATACTGGAGTGGGTTGCCATTTCCTTCTCCAGGGGATCTTCCTAACCCAGGGACTGAACCCAGGTCTCCGGCACTGCAGCAGACTCTCTACTGTATGAGCCGCGAGGGACTCAAACGTATGTCTGACTATATGCTAAGACACAAAGACTGAAAGGATAGAATAAGCTATATCATACAAATACTAACCAAAAGAAACCTGTGAGGGGATCATCTTTTTTAACCAAAAAGATAACATTCAGGATGAAGAGGATCATTCTGTAACAATAAAAGGAATAATTTGCCTTACATGTACCTACGAGCAAAGCCTCAAAATATTCAAAGCAAAAATTGATCAAATCACACAAAAATCACAAATTCAAAATAATAGTGGAAGATTCAGCTCACATCTCTGTAATGATAGAAAAAGCAGACTAGAAAGAAAATTAAATGTAGATTTGAAAGCATGATTAACAAACTTGATCTTAGAGACATACTTTATATACTTTGCAACCATTAAAAGCACATGCAGAATACATGAAAACTGACTGATGAGCCACAAAATAAGCCCTAACAAAAAAAAAATGCCAAAAAACTGAGTTCAAACAGTCTCCTCCAACAACAATTAAAATTGAGGGTAGGGGGTTTATTTTAAAAAGCATGATTAGAAATTTAAAATCCTATTTCTACACAACTCATGAGTCAAAGAAAAAACCATACCACACTTCATAGTGTTTAGAACAGATAAATATAACCAGACTATCAAAGAACAGATAAATGCTCATTTATATATAAACTGTTCTCTTCCAGAAAAGAGAAAAAACAGAAGCAACACTTTCCAACACATTTTGATCTCCAAACCAAACAAAGACAGTATTAAAAAATAAAACCTATGCAATGTTATGCTGGCTCCAAAGAGCCACCAGCTTGCTTCTCTTCTCATCTTCACACTGAGTGGCCTTGTTAGTAGCTCAAAATCTGCTATGGCAGGAGTGATTTATACTATGGAAACTGGCATTAGCTACAAGCCAGGGCTTTCTTTCTGAAGAGTAAGTTGTTAAATATTTACACTCATACACTGATTATATGCCAACCTCAATTACAAAAAAAGATTTTATGTCAAAATTAAGTTTTAACAAACCTATTTTGGAACTTTTAAAAGAAATGAAATGTAAATTTATTTTAGAAATGCAAGAATAGTTCTGAAAGTGAAAGTATCAGTTGCTCAATTGTGTTTGACTCTTTGGAATCCCATGGACTGTAGTCCACCAGGTTCCTCTGTCTATGGGATTCTCCAGGCATTAATACTGGAGTGGGTTGCCACTTCCTCCTCCAGGGGATCTTCCTGATCCAGGGATCGAACTCAGGTCTCCTGCATTGCAGGTAGTTTCTTTACCATCTGAGCCACCAGGAAAACCTATTTAGAATAGTTGTAAATTTAAAAAAAAAAATTAACATAAGTAACAAGGTAAAAGAGACTGACTATATGATCTTCTCAAGATACAAAAAAACAGGCATGACAGAAGCTGCCAGCTAAGTTAGGAAAATTAGGAGATACCCTTTGCTGGTGGCTTAGCTATAAGAAACCTCCTGACAATGCAGGAGCTGCAGGAGACATGGGTTCTATCCCTCAATTGGGGAGATCCCACGGAAGAGGGAGTGGCAACCCACTCCAGTATTCTTGCCTGGAGAATTCCATGGACAGAGGAGTCTGGCGGGCTGTAACCCCTGAGACTGCAAAGAGTTGGACACGACTGAAGTGACAATGCATCCCTTAACACAATAAAAAGCATCTGCAAGTGGAAAAGAACTCCCCTGCCAAGGGAGAAGACTAGGGTTTGATTCCTGGGTTGGGAAGATTCCCTGGATAAGGAAATGGCAACTCACTTCAGTATCCTTACCTGGGAAAAGGAAACCCCACTAACGGAGGAGCCTGGCAGGTTACAGTCCATGGAATTGCAAAGAGTTGGACACAACTTAGCAACTAAACAAACAGCAAAAATCTACAAACACCATGCTTAACAGTGAAATGTCAGCAATAATTCCTTAAAATCTGAAACAAAGCAAAGAAGCCCATTAGACCACTGTAGTCAACAGTGCACTGAAACAGCTGCTTAGCAGGTTACTGACAACAAATAAATATTACTCAGAAAGAAGAGCCAAATATGTCTATTCCCAGGCGTAAATGTTTAAGAGAATCTACCAAGAAAATACAGTATCATAATGTAAGATGAATATAAAAAATTTAACATTCCATACACCAGCAATAAGCATCAGAAAATGTTTTAAAATATATCATTTGGTGTGCCTGTATGCATTCGCTTAAGCACTATTCAAAACCAAAAAAAAAGTTGCTTCAGTGATGTCCAACTCTTTGGGATCCTAAGGACCACAGCCGGCCAAGTTCCTCTGTCCAGGAGACTCTACAGACAGGAACAATGGAGTGGTTAGCCGTGCCCTTCTCCAGGGGATCTTCCCAACCCAGGGATCGAACCCGTATCTTTCAAGTCTCCTAAACTGGAGGAAAGTTCTTTACCACTAACACCTCCTGGGAAGCTCAAACATAGAGGATTCAATAACTTACGGCATACCCTACGATATACACTATGCACCAAAAGGAGGATGTGGCTGTTGACCAAGTTGACTGATATCGCCAAGATATTTTAAAGTGAAAACAGCAGCGTACAAAATATATAGTTGTTTTTAATAAAAAATTCTTAAAAATTATATTTGTAAAACCAGAAGAGAAAATGAATGAACATACATATTTGCTTATATAGAATGTTCTTCAGCTGGATACATACAAAACTGGCTAGGACCAGGTCAGGAACAGAGGGGAGGCTTTCACTATGTATCTTTTCATAGCTCTGAAATTCTGCACCATGTGAACACATTATTAAAAAGAGAATTTTTAAAAAAATATACCATTTACAATGGCAACAAAAATAGAAGTTACCCAGGAATAAAACATGGACAAGACCTTAATAGAAAAAGTTATTAATCAATAAATTTAATGTATTTGAAGTAAAAATCCAACAGTTTTTTCATGAAGCTTTAAAAAAAATTCATTTTTAAAAGACAGCCTTCAGAATGGGAGAAAATAACAGCAAACGAAGTAACTGACAAATAATTAATCTCAAAAATATACAAGCAACTCCTGCAGCTCAATTCCAGAAAAATAAACCACCCAATCAAAAAAAGGGCCAAAGAACCAAACAGACATTTCTCCAAAGAAGACATACAGATGGCTAACAAAACACATGAAAAGATGCTCAACATCACTCATTATCAGAGAAATGCAAATCAAAACCACAATGAGGTACCATTTCACGCCAGTCAGAATGGCTGCTATCCAAAAGTCTACAAGCAATAAATGCTGGAGAGGGTGTGGAGAAAAGGGAACCCTCTTACACTGTTGGTGGGAATGCAAACTAGTACAGCCACTATGGAGAAGAGTGTGGAGAGTCCTTAAAAAACTGGAAATAGAACTGCCATATGACCCAGCAATCCCACTCCTGGGCATACACACCAAGGAAACCAGAACTGAAAGAGACACGTGCATCCCAATGTTCATCACAGCACTGTTTATAATAGCCAGGACATGGAAGCAACCTAGATGCCCATCAGCAGATGAATGTATAAGAAAGCTGTGGTACATATACACACCATGGAATATTACTCAGTCATTAAAAAGAATACATTTGAATCAGTTCTAATGATGTGGATGAAACTGGAGCCTATTATATAGACTGAAGTAAGCCAGAAAAGAAAACACCAATACAGTACACTAACGCATATATATGGAATTTAGAAAGATGGTAACGATAATCCTATATGCGAGACAGCAAAAGAGACACAGATGTATAGAACAATCTTTTGGATTCTGTGGGAGAGGGTGAGGGTGGGATGATTTGGGAGAATGGCATTGAAACTTGTATATTATCATATGTGAAATGGATCACCAGTCCAGGTTCAATGCATGAGACAGGGCTCTCAGGGCCAGTGCACTGGGATGACCCTGAGGGGTGGGATGGGGAGGGAAGAGGGAGGGGGGTTCAGGATGGGGAACACTTGTACACCTGTGGTGGATTCATGTCAATGTATGGCAAAACCACTACAATAAAGTAATTAGCCTCCAATTAAAATAAGTAAATTTATATATTAAAAAAATATATGAAAAAGCAAAGGGCTAAGAAAAGCCAAGACAACTATGAAGGAGAAGGTGACGGGCTTTCATCTTACTGTGAAACTCTAATAAACCAACAGGCCTATAGAAAGAGTAAGAATGGTCAGAATTCTGCAGCAGTGGTTTGGGGAGGGGAGCAAACTGGGTGGAGGAAGAAAGATGTCAAAGTTGACTCAGTCCAGGCAGTGTGGAGATAGTCAAATTCACTTAGGTAGGTTTTTATTGATGATAATGGTGATGCCAAATGCTTTTTAGAGGAAGATAAGAAAAACGGCTTAAGATCCTGACATGGGATGTTTTGAAGTGGCTTTGAAGCAAGCACCAAGTACTGAAGAACACATGAGTTAGTCATTTCTGACACCACCAACTTTGAAAGTCTATCATTTTAAATCTCATTTTAATGATCATTTTATCATATATTTATCTATTAATTAGAAATCACTTCATTTTGATGGTGGTTTTTTTTTTTTTTTTTGCCTGATAGCAATTTTCTTAGTGTTCCACATTAACCAAGATGGTAGCCATGACTGGACATAATTCAACTAGGGGGTGTGTGTGTGGGGGGTCCCTAAATCAGGCCCCATTTATCTTCTGCTACTTTAGCTAATAATTCCTCCTAGGAATTTATAGAGAAGATGAAAAATTCAATTAATTGAAATTATTTTGACAAAGTGATAATGAATGTCAGAAATAAACAAATCTTAGGAGATTTCATAATTTCTATATGAACATACAAGATACAGTTCACAGACAAGTCAAAAACCTTACCCTTTTCAGGCATCTCTGGAGCTCTTCCTCTACTTCTGCCCATCCGGTCATTCCTAATCTCACTTCGAGACTCATTTCTGGAGTCATTCCTTATTTCAGTGCGAGAACTTTCTTCTCTCAGATGGTTTCTGCCATAACTTCGGGATTCTTCCTGATACGTGTCCTCCTTTCGATGAGCATCTCGACTTTCACGGTCCCTGTAGTCGTGGGCATCACGAGTAGACCGAGAATCCCTGGGGTCGCGGCTCTCCTTGTTGTCTCTGCTATAATCTCTCATCTCCCTGGAGTCCCGGATGTCTCTAGAGTCTCTTAGTTCCCTTCGGTCTCTAGTATCTCTGGCATCTCTCCGATCCCGCCCATCTCGAGGTTCTCGGTCATCCCTGTGGTCTCGAGAAGAGCTCTGATCCTGTTCATACTCTCGTTCTTCTCTTGTGTCCTTTTCCCTGTCCCTTTTACCTCTAGTCTCTGTAAACATAATTTTGGAAATACCCTGTAATTCCTTTCACAAAATTGTAGGAAACTAGACAATGTGTTCAATACAGAGCTTTAAAATTTTTATTACAATGGTAATTCATGTTCTTTACAAAAATTAAAAGGAGAAAACATGGGCAAATAAGAATTAGACCTATCTGTAAGCTAAAATTCCAAAGGTAATTTTATTAATACCTGGATTATTTGTCTTGATTGAACAAACTTTGAACATGATATTCTGGTATCAACATACCCATACATAAGAGCTGAAACAAGTAAGCTGATCTCCTATCAATCCTATCAATGATGGCTTACTTTTAGAAATCACTTTTAGATTCAAAGGTACAAGTGACTTTAACTCATCTCTACTAAGTACAGGCCAGACTAGTTCACACATGACCTCCAATGTACTTAAGCACTTAAGAGTAACCTATAGTTAGTAAGCTGGCTGGCAAAAAGATACTGCTATTCACCCTTTCTCTCTTTCCTTTTTTTTTTTTTAAACTATTTAGTCGACTCACACTCCCATCTCTAAAGCTTTTTCTACTTAAAGCATTTTCTAACATTTCATGGGAAAACTTTAAAAAACAACTTCAGTTTTTAAAAAGCTGGAATGAACCTCGGTAGTTATTTAATTCAAACTCGTCATTGTATACATGAAGGAACAGAGGCCAAGAGCTTAAGTGGTTTAGTCAGCCACATACATCGTGGGAATTTGCAAAGATTAGAAACTATTCTTTAGAAATATCTAGAGAAACATAAATTGATTACAGCATAAATCTGAAATGAACTGAAAGAATTAACAAGAGACCCTCAAAGAACCACCCCTGTACTTTCTTTTTAATCAGATTCCTTCATAAATTGCTCTTATACTCTGGAACAACCACAAGATCTGATGCTATTTTGGCAATTTTATAGTAGCCTAGGACCTATGGCTAGGTCCGTAGACTTTCCCTGTCTAGTATCCACGAGATCCTCATCAATAACTTATCTCCTCTGCCTACATCCATAAATGCCATCTAAGCATAGAAGCACTAGGCAAGAATCTGACAATGTCTCATTTTTTTTTTTTTACTACATTTATGACTTCATGTCCTCCTCCAATACCAAGAAATTTGATCACTTAGCACTAGGTTCTTCTTTTATGATGCCCCCAGCTGTCTTTACAAAGACACCCCAGTTACAGTATTTGCTCTTTATCTAACTCCCCCTCCTTTCACTAAAATTATTCTTATTTCAAAAAATGACTTTCAGAAGATTACACAAACATCCTCCTTACAAAGAATCAAAAAGTGTATTGTTTATTATTAAAAGGATTCATATAACATAAAACCCCCCTTACCACAAAAAAAGCATTCCTGTAAGAATCAACTGCATACTGAATTTCCCCTTCATTCGGGGAATTGTGTTTAATAAATAGTATTTTGAAATAATAAAAGAGTTTTCATTCAATAAGTAGTCACTAAAAATATACTATATTCCCAGTCAACCCTAGTTGTTGATAGGTATAAGAGCATTTTCCCCACTTACCAATGTTTTATATATACCGCTGTGCTGATCTGGTTCCAAAATCATGCATACAAGGAATAATTCTCTAAAATATGTGCTCTGTCTAGTCCCTATCTATGCATCCATCATTTCTAGAATAAAATAATTATTTCTTGCACTGCTGACTGGAGGAGAATAAGTTCAACATGTTTCATAGGAGACTGCTATGTGATGCAGACACTTTAAAAGTGCACATTAAACAGAAATGCTGTTGCAAGTAAGCACGTATTTCCTGAGTATTCTTTATGTTAAAAAAAACTAACTCAGAAGATTTTAGGAAAAAGGCTTGTTAAGTTAAATAAATAATAAGAAGCTTAGACAAGAATTACAGAAAGAGATGAGAGTGATTCAATTGTACTGCCAAATAATAACATCTCAGCTTAAAGACGGAATAGCAAATTCAAAGTTAATGTAATGCTCAGGAATCTAAAAACCGTCTTGCTTACTTCTTTGTTGAGTTAGATCTGGAAAACTGATCACTTGGTTCCCACGGACCTTCTGAACATTCCCCCAGCCCACATCTCTTTCTTTGTTAAGACATCTCTGATATGTTCCAACTCTGCTCCCTGGTTTGTTGCTTTTCTTTTAAACTCTTCTGTTGTTTTTAAAGAATTAGCTAAGCAATTAGACTGACACTCTTAAGAATCATATAGCCCCAAATTTCTAGAACTTGAGAATACTCAAGTAAAACAATGTACTGAAAGAAGGCAACAACTTAATATACATATAAATGCCCAATTACATATATCTAGTAGCTTACATTTCCATGTCCTTAAGCACCTCCTATTGCCCTAGAGAGCTCTGATCCACGTGTTACAGAAAATGTAGTATAACACAGTTCTCTTCTACCCCTTATTCTAACAATAAGTCTGAATGTCCAATTTTTTAATAAAGAAAATATCCACTTACATAAAAGAACGCTAAAAAACCCACAATACTGCCGAGTATTTACCTTCCCTTCTTTCATGACGCCGATCGTGAGACTGTGAAGTTCGCTCATGATCGTGCCTCCCCTTCTCTCTCACTGGAGAGCGATGTCTTGGAGGGCTTTGCTTTCTCTGAGGAGAAGCCAAAGAGTGTGAAGGATAGGGAGAAGCAGAGCGGCGTAAAGGTGGAGTTATTGTCCTCTGATAAGATGGTGAAGGAGTTCTTTTTCGGCGAGGAGAAGGAGAATGTCTTTGAATCGACGATCCTGACTGTGAGGAAGATGAGTGATGTCTAGAAGATATTGGAGAATGATGTTGTCCTGCTGGGGAGGTGGACCTGTAAAGAGAAACAACAATAAAAAACTGGATTCAAGAGCCTTCACTTCTAGTCAAAGGAAAGTCTTTTAAAACAACAAAACCCTGAATATAAAAGTTAAAGCTAAAAGTGTGAATAATTTTAATTCAAAATGATGTAAAATCATTAACAGGCTGATTTTTAAGTCAGTTTGAGGCAACAGGTCTAGATGAGACACATGTTGGCCTCCTGAGCTTTGGCTCCACAGCACACTTCCTTTTCCCAGGTAACACCCTCCCGGTTCACTAACGGTTCTTATTGTCACATACAGTACAGAATTCACTCTTAACCAGAGATGATCTCTGTGCGAATAGGTACTTAGAGGATGGAATCCACAAAGAGCTAAAGAGAAAACATACTAGTGAGATCTAGATAGATACGACTGGCTGTGAGAACGCCTATAATTCAGGGTTGTGGGAGAAGCGAAAAGCTATCACCAGCTATACCAAATGTAAAGTTTGACTGCCTGGGCTGACATGTAGGATGGGGAAAGAACACTAGGGTTAAGGAAAGGACATACTGCCTATACTGTCTTTATCTTAAATAACCTACCTTTCAGTCTTGGGCAGTACAAATTGAGATTTAGTTCATAAGCTTTAGTTTAACTAAGGCTTCCTCTACTCCCTTCAAATCATCTTGCTTGACTGCTACCTGAGAAATAACTTAAAAATGCATGAAGTACATCTGAATCACTCCTATGATCTGTTAGGTCCTGGGCTCTGTCTACAATGAATATACAAAAGCTATGTGTGATGGAGAGCTAGAATACATGCATTTGCACATTAACTGGAAAGAAACAGGACTAACATTTAAAAAAACAGCATTCCAGACATCACATACTGAGATACGTATCATATTTCTCAAAGCAATCATTTCAAGGCTACCTGATTGTTCAAAAAAATTATGAGTTCCTGTCAACGTATTATGGAATTACCTTCAGTGCCTATGATGAGTATTTTTTAACTTCTGCAATGCTGACAAAGTTATTAAACCAAGATTCCTCAATCTTGGACCTACTGACATTTTATATGCAGTACTTCTTTGTGGTGGGGGCTGCCCTGTACATTGGAGGATGTTGAGAGCATCCCTGGCCCTACCCACGAGAAGCCAGTACCATCTAACTCTGACTCCCATTCACACCAGTAAAAATTACTTCATATAGCTCCAAATGTCTCCAGGGAGGTAAAATCAAGCCTGGTGGAGAATCCTTGCCCTAAACTATGTTGTTTATAAATGATGCCTTAGTAGAACTTTTATCAACAAAAGGTTTAAATCTATGAAATACACGTTGCTGAGCCAGGAAAGTGGTCTAATATGTTGGAAAGGATTTTGTAAAATGATGAGCTGAGCAAACAAAAACACTTTTAGGATAATAGTTGACAGTAAAACAATAAAAATCAGTAAATATCAGCTAACTAGAACACCACACTTATCTAAACATTCTAACTATTTATGATTACAAAACTTTCATACTTTTAAAAAATTGGTATTCTTTCCTCATATACAAAAAATAAGACATACACCACCAGAATTAAACTGACTCTAAACTGGAATTTATTTACTAACAGATATAAGCAGAAATGCTCAGTGGGTCTTAGCCAAATCTGGAAAACCATTTATGATGAAAGACTATTCATATACTGAACAGAAAAATTATTGCAGGACTAAGAAATTCTCATTCTAATCTGACTACTGTTTGGTGCTTTCCAAATTCAATTTCGTTAGGTTCTGATCAATTTGGAAACACCTAAATTGAAAAAATAAACAATTTGGCTCTCCACTGAACTGACATTTTGGTTAGCTTTGAGTTTATTTCTGAGATAAACTCAAAATTGTTTCAAGAATGTCTCCAACTCCTTTTGGTGATTTGTTCACAAAACTTAAATAAAATAGTTCACAACACTGTCTTTTAAAAAACACATTACAGTCTAATTACATCTCTATTCAAATTTGGTGTCTACTGCTGCTGTTGTTCAGGTATTAGGTCAAGTCTCTTTGTGACCCGATGAACGACAGCACATCAGGCTCCTCTGTCCTCCATTCTCTTCCTGAATTTGTTCAAACTCATGTTCACTAAGCTGGTGATACTGTCTAACCATCTCATCCTCTGTTGCTTCTTTCTCCTTTTGCCTTCTATCTTTCCCACCATCAAGGTCTTTTCCAATGAGTCAGCTTTCATATTAGGTGGCCAAAGTATTGGAACTTCAGCTTCAACATCAGTCCTTCCAAAGAATATTCAGGATGAATTTCCTTTAGTTTTGAACTCCTTGCAGTCCAAGGGACTCTAAACAGTCTGCTCCAGCACCACAATTCAAAAGCAAAAATTCTTCCCCACTCAGCGTTCTTTATGGTCCAACTTTCACTTCCGAAAGTGACTACCTGAAAAACCATAGCTTTGACAACACAGATCTCTGTTGGCAAAGTGATGTCTCTGCTTTTTAATACTCTGTCTAGGTTGGTCACAGCATTCCTTCCAAGGAGCAAGCATCTTTTAATTTCATGGTTGTAGTCACCATTAACAGTGATTTCGGAACTCAAGAATATCTGTCACTGCTTACATTTTTTCCCCTTCTAACTGACATGAAGTGATGGGAATGGATGCCGTGATCTTAGTTTTTGGGATGTTGAGTTTCACGCCAGCTTTTCCACTCTCCTCTTTCACTCTCATCAAGAGACTCTTTAGTTTCGCTTCACCTTCTGCCATTAAAGTGGTATCATCTGTAAATCTGAGGTTACTGATATTTCTCCCGGTGGTCGTGATCCCAGCTTGCATATAAATATGCATATATATATGCTCTGCATATAAATTAAATAAGCAGGTGACAATATACAGCTTTGTCACATTCCTTTCCCAATTCTGAACCAGTCAGTTGTTCCACGTCCAGTTCTAACTGCTGCTTCTTGACCCACATACAGGTTTCTCAGGAGACAGGTAAGGTGGTCTGATATTCCCGTCTCTTTACGAATTTTCCAATTTGTTGTGATCCACACAAAAATGGAAGAAAAACTTCAGTTCAAGCTTAGATAATCAAGCTATCATATTAAGGACAGAACACCAATGTATTGTCAAGTTATGTCTTCAGCATTTTAAGCATATTTTTCTACTTATCCTTTTGGGCAGGGAGAGGGGAGTTTGTTGATTTAATCATCTATTAAATGAATGTTTGCATCCCCTCCCCCTTCTACTCCAAATTTATATGTTTGAGGCCTTAACCTCCAATGTGATGCTATCTGGAGGCAGGGCCTTTGGGAATAATTAGGTTTAAATGAAGTCCTGAGGGTGGGGCTCCCATAATGAGATAGTGTCCACATAAGAGGAGGAAAAGACTATAGAGTTCTTGCTCCCCTGTAAGTGAGGACACAGTGAGAAGACAGCCATGTGCAAACCAGGAAGAAGGCCCTCACCAGGAACCAGATCTGCAAGCACCTTGACCTTGGACTACCCAGAAACCAGGTCTGTGAGAAATAAATGCCTGTTGTTTAAGTTACCCAGTCTATGATATTATGTAATAACAGCCCAATGTTGCTAAGTATCACAGCAGTTTTACATTTTTTTCTATTGCTATTTTTTTTTTTTTAAAGTCTGAAGACTGAAAAATAGTGAAAAGAGAGAGAGGATCTGTTATCAAAACAAGATGAGTCAAATTATAGATATAAGCCTAACTGGTCCCACACCTATGTTCATTCTGCATATACAAAAAAAGAGGTGACTCTAGGTAATAAAACTGTCTTGAAATCTGACCAAAACTGTTAGCAATTAGGCTTCTAGAATATTGCAGAGATGCAGTAAAATACATTTCACATTAACTAGTACACTCTAATGCCTGAAGAACTATGGATGGAGGTTCATGCCACTGTACAGGAGGCAGTGATCAAGACCATCCCCAAGAAAAAGAAATGCAAAAAGACAAAATGGTTGTCTGAAGAGGCCTTACAAATAGCTGAGAAAAAAAGAGAAGCTGAAGGCAAAGGAGGAAAGGAAAGATATACCCATTTGAATACAGAGTTCCAAAGAAAGCAAGGAGAGATGGAAGGACAGCCTTCCTTGGTGATCAATGCAAAGAAACAGAGGAAAACAATAGAATGGGAAAAACTAGAGATCTCTTCAACAAAAGCAGAGATACCAAGGGAACATTTCGTGCAAAGATGGGCACAATAAAGGACAGAAATGGTATAGACCTAACAGAAGCAGAAGATATAAACAAGATGTGGCAAGAATACTCAGAAGAACTATACAAAAAAGATCCTCAAGACCCAGACAACCACGATGGTGTGATCACTCACCTAGAGCCAGACATTCTGGAATGTGAAGTCAAGAGGGCCTTAGGAAATATCACTACAAACAAAGCTAGTGGAGGTGATGGAATTCCAGTTGAGCTATTTCAAATCCTAAAAGATGATGCTGTGAAAGTGTTGCACTCAATATGCCAGCAAATTTGGAAAGCTCAGCAGTGGCCACAGGACTGGAAAAGGTCAGTTTTCATTCCAATCCCAAAGAAAGACAATGCCAGAGAATGCTCAAACTACTGCACAATTGGACTCATCTCACACGGTAGCAAAGTAATGCTCAAAATTCTCCAAGCCAGGAGATGATCTGTGAACTTCCAGATGTTCAAGCTGGTTTTAGAAAAGACAGAGGAACCAGAGCTCAAATTGCCAACATCCACTGGATCATTGAAAAAGCAAGAGAGTTACAGAAAAACATCTACTTCTGGTTTATTGACTATGCCAAAACCTTTGACTGTGTGGATCACAATAAAATGTGGAAAATTCTGAAAGAGATGGGAATACCAGACCACCTGACCTGCCTCCTGAGAAATCTGTATGCAGGTCAAGAAGCAACACTTAGAACCAGACTGGACTGGTTCCAAAATGGGAAAGGAGTACGTCAAGGCTGTATACTGTCACCTTGCTTACTTAACTTATATGCAGAGTACATCATGCGAAATGCTGGGCTGGAATGAAGCACAAGCTGGAATCAA